AAAATAAACAGTAAAACGTCATTGTGAAATAAAAGGAAAACAATATATTGTTGCAAATAACCTTTGCAAAGCAAAAACTGAAAGAGTTTAATTTGCATTTATTTGGATTACTACTGCTGAAAAACATCCAAGGCTCCTGCCTTATAAAGTCACTCAGTTAGTAACTGTAGTTTAGCAGTGTTTCATTTAATTTCATTTCAATTTAGAACAAAAATATGGATGCTCTTTGAAAAAATAAATGATAGAAAGTGTTTTCAGGGATACATTTGTGAAGTTTAAAAGTACTTCATGGTTAAAAGACGAGAGTTTTCAGAGTTTCTAACTAAGGAAAACCAGCTGATAGGGAGGACTCATTGAGTCTCTGCAATCCCTCGCACTAAGCATGCATCTAGCGACAGTGGAGAGGAAAACTGCCTTTTAGGAAGAAACCTCAAGCAGAACTAGGCTCAGTGTGAACAGCCATCTGCTAAGGCCGACTGCTTTTCATGATTAATACTGACATAAATGAAATTAGAACTGAAATTAGACTTAAGTGACGATTACATCCCTGACATTGGGTGGAACTTGTTTCTTTAGGGCTTTATACTTGGGAACAATGACTTTAAATTCTACTCTAGATTCAACAAAACAACTGAAGTAAATCTGATCCAGTAAAATATTTTGTGATCCAGTAAGTCTGCTTTAAAAGTTCTAGTTTTTTTTATTTTGTCATTTTATCCCTGCCATCTTTACTCTTCACTACTGTACATGTTTCTCTCCCATCACCCCTACAAGATAATTCTTCTTATAGTTGGAATGTGTAGATCCAAGTTTTGATTTACATAATGACCTGCATCAGATTTTAAAGTTATTTATTAAAAGCAAGTTTGTTGAACGTTTTTTATTCCTGTTTCTTTCTCTGTTGATAGCACGACACGCCGTGACCTGTCTGTTGTGCATCTGGCCTCTCAATGGCAAACTGCTGAGACAGTCTTCTTGCTGCTGAATATTAATAACACAAAAAAAAAAAAAGATGTCAGTCACTATAAATTACAGCTGCTGCTGTGGATGTTCATGATGAATTGGATTACAACATTAATAATGTTAACACTCTATTTTGCTGAACACTTTTGTTATAGATATTTTTAACGTCAGTTCTTTTTAGTGTTTATCTTTACTAATAACTTACTTTTAAGCATATCATTCTCAACTTTAATTAATCAAAGCAGAGATTTAAAATAATTCATTCAATAACCTGTTGATAAAATGGATAAAAAAATAAATAAACAAATCCCCAATCTGATTTCAAGATAAATTCACCAACAAGAACAAAACTGAATATATTTGAGGTACCTAACCAAACTTAAAGCTATGTAGCGCTACACACAAAGCATATTTATGACCTGTTTTCATGTGCAAATCTTGTATAATTGTAATTTCTATTTAGTATATTATTTTGCTGAAATCAACAATCCCGTTTTTCTTTATAAAATGTCCAATTGCTCTGCATCCTTTACAGTGTTGCTGTTGCCTATTTGTCATTTCCTGCTCCAAATGCTGTGCTCAGATATCTGTAGCTGTTAAAAAGAGCATCAGATAAACTGACCATGAGAGTTTACATTTTCAAAGCAATCCTTACAAAGCAATCTAACAATCCTGAAGAAATAAAAAAACAACACTAAAAGTGTTGATTGAGGACATCACAAAAGTAGAACCACTGAAAAATGTTAGCTATGTGATCAAAACACCTTTTCAAAACATCCAGTAAAGATGAATACTCTAGACTTAGACAGACTTTATTGTCATTTTGTACACAGAGTGTATACAAAACCAGCAGCTGTGCTTTGTAAACATAGGACTGTATATGATTTACAGTTTCCAGCATTCTGTTTTTTTTTTTTTATAAACCCTGTTTTATACAACATTCAGCAGTCTAATGGCAGTGCGGAAGAAACTGTTCTGGAATCTGCTGGACCTGCATCGGATGCTTCGAAGTCTCTTCCCAGTGGGACACAGGGAGAACTTTAGCAAACTGCCCTAGAAAATGTGTCTGCCAAAGCCAGATATGAGTTTAGTAATTAGCGTAGCTGTGGGTCAGATGTCTACAAAACATGCAAAGTTGGGTAACCTGTGCATGACATGTAGTGATAAGTTAATATCGAAGCACGACTAAACTATATTGAGAGACATGCAAAAAACAGACTGGGAGGTATGCACATCTCTCAATCCCACTTGTGATTTAGCTTTGAGCAGCATATGAACATCTAAAGCAGAATGTTGTTGAAGGGATAGGTTAGATTAGGTTAGTGGGGAGTGGCGGCTTAGTGGTTTAGGGCATTGTGCTTAGGTTCCTGAGGTTCTGAGTTCAAGCAACACTCCCACAGACTGTCACTCTGATGTCACACAATGGCAGCCCACTGCTCCCCAAAGGGGATGGGTTAAATTCAGAGAGTTAAATAATAAAAAATAAAAAGCTGAAAGGTTTTGAATATAAAGTTAAGTGAATTGTTCACAGTGTGTAACAGAAATGGAAAAGGTTCACTGCTGTCATAGAGCCTCCCGCTATGAGAAACGGCCAGTACTAGGAAAAAAGTAGTTCCGGTACTGAATGGGGGCACTTTTAACCAAAGGTATTTAAGCTAGAAAAACTATTCATGTGTTTTGTTAAACTATTTGAACAATGTTAAAACATCCTATTGCTATCAATTAGCACCATTCCACCGCATAGTGGGATGGATCAAGTAGCTCAAGGTGCAGAATACGTAAAACATATTTATAAAAAAGAACTTTTAGGTCAGCCCTATACAGCTCAAACACCTGTTTAGACTAAAAACACAGCCCCTCATCTCAGCAGATGTGAACAAGTAGACATCTTTTCTTAATCAAAATGTATGATGGAGAAAATAATGTTGACAAAGCATAAACTGGGGAGCACTCTTAAGAGGTTTGTGGGAGTTTTTTTTTTTTTAAAAAGGCCCTATTATTTTACCCCTAGAAGGATTGTTTCATGGTCCTACCTCCAGCACAGACATTGGTTAGCCATCTCTTTCTCTTGAATGTGCTTCACACAACTTCATGTTCAAAAACCTTAACTATCCCTTTAATATTGTCACTGGGATTGTTAAAGCTGATCTGATCCTTTATTGATTAAGTAATGGTTATATATCATGCCTCTGTTTCTTTCTTTTCTACTTTATCTCAGTTTGGCCAGTTTTGTTCCTTGTGCCTGTTTCTTTACTTTTAGTTTTTTTGTTTTTTTACTTAAATGTATGCAACTTTATAACTGTTTTTTCGTTTCTCATCACTGGTTCCTTTAAGTTCGAAGCATTGCTTCTGTTCTCTCAACCATGCCCATTCCTTGTTTCTTCCAGGGAAGTGTTTAAAGTGTAAGTTGCTTCTGTTCTCTGGAATCGGATCCTTACACTAACCGACAAAGACAAAACATTATCTCAACACTTTGGTACTGAAAGCTTAAGGGATAAATTAAAGCAAATTATATTTATTTAATACAGCCATCAGCTCTTTTTTTAGTGTTGATGTGTGTATACTGAACCTGTTTGTGTTTGTGTGACAAGGTGTCAGATACAACCCCAAGAGAAATTAGACAATTCTGTCTGGTCTTTAATTATCCTCCAACTACATTAGCCATCACCTCAGAGTAGTGAATGGGCTCCACTGAGTGTATCTTTGCAAATTAATGAGATGAACCACTCAGTCTGTGGGACTAAGTGCAATCTTGACTAAATTGAAACTTGTTTCAGGAAGTAATTTTGTTTATTTTATTCAGTCGAGCCTCCCTTCTTTTAAACTAACTGAGACAAACAATTTGAAAACTCTGTAAATACCGAGTGCTAATGTGAACCGCAGGGAAATATGTTATGCTGTTAACCGAAAAACCACATCCCCTAAAAACAGTCTTCTCAGTATTAATTACAGAACTGTTTAGCATCACAGCACCGAGTTTACCTTACCGGTAACTCACTATTTACGGTGTTGGTAAGACATGTAAACCAATGCTAATCGGCATCAATGCCATATTAATGTTTTACTTTTAGAGACATTTTTGAGTATTTTTTTCCCAATGTTAGAAAATCAAATAACGGCAGCTTTAGTCAGAATTGATTCTGTATTTATTCCGAAGGTTGAAGCTAAAAGATGGACATGGCAGGATTTTCAGATGAAGTTGATAAGATAGAATTTTTGCTAGAGCTTCATTTTGATAAAAGTCCCTTCCAAAAATGTAGACAAACCACAAATATTTAAAATCTAAAAGATGACTGAATATTTGACTATTCTTCTTAAAACACAATGGTTGGTTGGTTTATGTTTCAAATGTGAACTATTCAGACTTAAAAGCAAAGCATTTTTGTCTAAATCAAGGTGAAGAATTAAAACTTAGGAAGAGTCTATAATTTTCAAACATGGTGGTTGGAAGCATCAGTCAGATGGTCTGCCAGTGGTTCTTCAGCATAAAAAAAAATGGGGTAGATAATATAAGAATACCACGGAATTTTTCCACTTTACCCGAAATAAACAGCTAGACAGTCATAACTAGGACAGCACTGGATTTATATAAATGAGTTTGTACGTCACTGCCTCAATATACTTAAAATTAAATACAGCTTTCTAAAATGTATTGACATTTTTGTCTAAAATAATTTACTTTTTTCTTCCTAACATAAAGAATAAAAAATATGTCTATTGAAAGACATTTCATGGCCATGTTCAAATTGAGTGGCAAGTCATATTCAATAAACTACAAGAAGCTTCTGGTGAGGCTCGTATGTTAACATAAAAGTGCCTTAAATACGAAACCTTCAATCAGATAGTTAATATAGTTTAATGCATAGGTCAAATCTAAAATAGTAATATTAAATGCTGTGCTTTTATTACCTGATAACAGAAATGTTTTAATGAGATTTTTATGTATCCAATATGACTGCATACATTTTTGAATAGCACCCAGTTGTACTGTAACAGTTCCTCCCTCAACGACCTCAGTGTTCTTCCCCTTTCCTTACCCTGTCTTAAGGTTCTCAATGGCCTCCTCCACGCCTTTCTGGTTATTGCGAATCATATACTGGTGCATGCTGGGATAGTTGGAGCGGATGTTCTCCTCAGTGCTCCCGTTCGGCACCGTACCAAAGCGCAGTGGTGGGTACTGCTCTGTCGGGTGCTGAAACTGCACAAGAGGAACAGGTGGGCAGAGATTAAAGTGACAGACGGGAGGTGTGAAGTAAAAAGTGAGTCGCTGGAAGAAAAAAAGAAAAAAATCAAGCAGAGGAGTTGATCCCCGCTGCAGGATGAAATGCTAAGAAGATTCTAAGTCTGCACTTTCAAAGAGAGGCCTTGGTGCTCAGATTTTCTGAAGAGCTTAGATGGAGTTTAATAAAACATGCAAAGTTTTAAAATGTTATCACAGCATGATGCACTTTGTGGCTTCTAATGCCAATATCCTGTGAAGAGCAGGCGGCTAAATAAGGAACATCTCTACTTTGTTTTTCTAAAGCTATGAAAAATAGCAGCCAATTATACTGTAGCAGCTTTTAATCATTTGTACAAATGTTTTATTTATTTACCATAAAGATAATTTATTATTTTTACTGCGTTCACTTATATGATCCCATATAGAGCATTAATTTGTGTATTGCTTTTATCTGCGCTATCTGTTGAAGATCCTACCTTCTTATCAGACAGTCCTGACACTGTGTCAATATACTCCTCCTGGATCATGAAGGCAGCCAAGTTTGCAGTGTAGGAGGCCAAGAAGATGACAGCAAAGAAGGCCCAAACAAGAACCTGGACATGGAGATAATTGGCGAGGAAAAGAAAGGAAGGGAGAGTTCTTTACAAATATGGAGACAATTTTAATATCTGGACCTGCAGCTGAAGATCTGTATTAAACTGTGTGTCATTTGTCAGTTAATCACTTCTAGCCTCTAAATATGTCACTTAAACCTGGCAAGTGTGTTTTTAACTGAGTGTATAAAGATCATATAGTAATTAGATTTGCCAAATGGTGATTTTTTTTCCAAAACTCTGGTTGCCTGAAGGAAACCTTGGAACTCAGCAATCACATATTTCTAGTCATGGTGAAGTCTCACTCACAAAGCATTGTCTAGTTTCAGCTCAACTAATTTATCAGTATAAATCTGTTAGAATATGAAGATGCATGCTTTGGCTGTGACACAATGTATCTATATTCAATCAATTTATTTCTGAGTAAAAAAGAAAGAAAATAGTCCTAAATTTTGGTGAAACCTGCTCTGTTCACTGTTTATTCTTTATTATTTCAGTTGTGAACCAGAAGCTTAACCAGACCGTCCCCAAAATACTGATTATGTTCAGAATCAGAATCAGAATCAGGTTTATTGCCATTGTTAGTGAAGGAGTTCACAAACTAGGAATTTTTTGTGGTACAATCGCGCAACATGAAACATATAATATGGAATAGGTAATTAAAATTATAAAAATATCTAAAACACTGTGGGTTTAAGGCATGCAATAAAATAGACTAATATATACACTTAAGATAAAAATATGGATATAAAATATAAAAAGTAAAATAGCATCTTACAAGGAGTGCAAATAGAGCAGTGTTGAAGAAGCTCTATATTAATAATGCTAATACTAATACTACTACAACTAATAATTACAATTATTACAACAATAACAAAAATCAGAGATCAAACAGAGATCCCTTATGGAACATTCACTGCTGTGTCCAAATCAAAAATATGCCCACTTCTCCTGATTTTTCCAATTAAATTTGTTCTAAATATTACACTCTGGAAATACTTGACAAAAGATAATCATGATTTTTCCAAAATTCCATAGGAGAGCCTCTCATAGATAGCAGGATTAGAATAACAGAACGTCTGAAGCTATAAGCACTTAGCATGAAAATGTAGCTATTCAGAGATCATGCTTTCACTGCCCCACATCAGTGAACTCTGTTGACTTTAAGCCCTAAATCAAGTAAGAGATGTGGATTAGTCTATGCACTAGATTAATTCTTGCCATTGGCAATTAATGGGGTGTTTTGTTTCTGTTCCTGTAAAGTTCCTTTTCCTAATTTCTACTAAAGCTTAGGAAAAATGCTGTAAATTCATTTTCTTTTACAGAATAAAAAAAAATCTTTACACTAGATATCTTTAAAAATACATATAGTGAAACTTAAAGAGTCTTATTGAAGAAGCACAAATATTACTACTTTGTAATCTTCTTATAAAACATTTTTTTTGCAAGCTAAAATAACCTTTACGACACTGAGTTCTTGATAGACGTAATTAAGCAGCTAATGAGCTGTAGAGATGATTAGGTTTGCTGCAAAAAGCACTTGGACTGACACTACAGGCAAAGAAAAAGACAAGTTGAATCTGTCAGTGTATTCTGAGGGCATGAGTGTGACCTGCAAGTTAGAAAATAAAAAGGAATTGAAGGAAAAAAGTCAGCGATCAATTAAAACCAAAGCCATAAAAGATAGATTAGCACAAAGCAAGCCAGTTAAATGAAAGGTAAATCTGGTGAGTCACATAGAGGTTTTACCATTATCTTGCTGGTGGTTCCTCTGGGATTTTCAACGGGAACAGAGTTGTTAAAAACCAGAGCCCAGAGCAGCCACACGGATTTCCCAATGGTAAACTTAGATCCACCCGATTCTGGAAAGAAGATCCATCAAGGAGGTTAGATTGAGGCAGTGTTTGGGAAGTAACATTTGAGGAATGCACCAAAAATATGGGGTTACAAAACTGAAAAACAAAAAGATTATTCATGTCATCTGAAATCTAATGATGTACTTAAATTCCTCCCTTAGGTTACTAATCAAAATACATTTTGGATGCAGCGTTTCGTTGACATATCTAGTGAAGGGAGACTTTCAACAGTTTTTCTTAGATATATTTATTAAACATATTTGTAATTCCACTGTTCTGTTAGTATATGGATTTTATTTGAAATTGTGATATTCCTTTTAAAAATGTAATAAAACATTTCTTGCTTTAAGATTATAAATCCTTTTCTACAGTATATAGCAGAGAGACAATAATCTCAAGAACTAATAATGGTTCACTATCAATCAGCTTTATGGTGAACTAAATTAATAAGGAAAATGTTCTTATTAAAAAAATTTTCTAATAAAAAAAAACTTTAATATTCAATCTAGTTATTAAGGAGGATATTAGAATATATTTCTTTCTTCCAATTCTTATCTGTGGACCTTAAATACTAAACATTAACATGACTTATTGAGCAATGTGCTCCTTTTTTTTTTTTTTTTTTTTTTTTTTTTTTTTTTACAGTGGGGTAAACAAAAAATATCTCAAAAAACAGGAACAGTAATTACAGTAAAAAATAAATTACTAAAAAAAAAAAAAATAGAAATATCTTACCATTAGAAATTGAGATATCAAAAGATATAAATAATTTATAACAATCTTATAGTCTTTTTCCACATTTGTTCAAGAAGCTACTGAAATTAATTTCTTCACTGATAATTTACTGTATTCCAGTGTGACAAGATTTAGAAGTTTATTTTAATAACACATAAGAAAGAAATTACATATAAAGTTGACGTGATGTTTAAGATTATGGAAACTATTCATATACATTTTGAAATAACACATTTTGCTCTTCACACAGGTGCTATATTTGCAAAGTTAAGTATTGACTAAATAAAACATTTCTGAAAAATCATATAAACCAAAAAGAAGTAGAAAAAGTTACTTTTTTAAAAAGTGAAAATTTGCCAAACCTTTTTTTAGTCCAACAGTAAGAACAGTGGCAGTTAACATGCACCAAGAATCAACTGATAAATACATTAGGTGTCTTTTTTATATTTATACTGTATGCTGGTTCTGCCCCTCTGCAGTCAGATTTAATGTAAGGATAAAAATCTGACCGGGAGGCATCCCTTCATTGTTACTTAGGGGTTATATGGTTTCACTATGATGCATTGTTAGTTTTTTCTCCTTCACAGCAAAAGTTTTCAAAAGTTTATTGCATGTCAGGGATAATAATAAGTGCAGATTTAATTGAAAACAAAATAGAAAAGTGTCCAGGGGTTAACTCAAGATTTAAAAAAAAAAAATAGGATAAACCATTCATGGCTCTTTTGACTACATTATTATCATGTTTTCTTTCAATCATATATAAAATAATTTTTAATGATCTGAATTATTCTGTAAAATGATTGCAGATGGTCAAATGTCAATAATAAACTAATATATGGTAGAAATGTGTCTAAATCATCTTCCTCAGTGTTTGCTTCACATCATATATATATATCTATATATATATCTATATATATAGATATATATATATATAGATATATATATATATACATATAAGTCATGCTGTGGAGTGATTGCTTTGACTTGTGCAGTTAAATAAATAAATAAAATTAAGAAAAATAGGTCCCTTTGCATAATTTGTTCAAACGTCCCCCTCAAATCAGCCCCCCCTTGCTTCCTTAACTGACAAATTGACAAGTAAGTAATAATAGAGTAAAATGAGCAGTGGCGGTGGGTTGATTGGCATGCCAATCCTGGAGGGACTCCATCTCTTACTCTTGGCGCTCTGCAGGCTGCGGTTATATCCCACGGGGCTGAAGAACTCAAAGATGAAGACGGTGACAGCCACCACTGACAGGCACATCACAAACATCATCACCCACACTGCTGGGCTATAGGGCTCTGCAACACACAGAAGAACACACAAAAACCCATGCAAAAATCAGATCAAGTATAAGAAAAGTATCTGCCATCTACAAAGAGCTGCATAACGCAATGGAACAACACACACTCACACGTGCTTCTTTATAAGAGATTCAGCTACATATTCTATGTTAACTGCTCTGAATCTAAACGTTGATTTCATCTATATTCTGTATAATTCAGCTACAATCAAATGGAATATTGAGTTAATAAAATATAATGTTAAGTTTTGTCCTTTAAGCACAATTAGAAACATTGTTTTTGTTTTAAATATATCATGCATAATCACCACTTTATGTACCACGATTCATGACTCAACATTTTGCTTCTGAACTTCTAAGAAGTCCCTTTTCCACACCAATAATAATGTTTTCCTTTGGAGAAACCTTCACTTAACTATTTAAACTTTGCCAGTGGAGGATTTTCTTTCATTGGGTGGATCAACAAAATAAGTGGTACTCCTAATTGTCAATCATAATCATTCAGGTGATATGTTTATGAAATTATACATTTTTCTACACATGTGCAATTTCAGGTGTATATATGTGTTGAGCTACGGTTTCAGACAGTCATTGAAGCTTGCCTTTTTTCACTGCGGCTCTTTGAAAATGGCAGAGGGTCATATGAGAAAAAGTGTCTACAAAGTGTATGAGAAGAAAAAAAAGGCCTCAGAAGAGGCAGATATATCCTGGAATGCTTTGCGCAGAGAGCTCTCCTTGCAAAGCATTATGTGATTTGCTGTCACAGCAGCGTGCTGTTGCCATAGGCTGTCACTACCCGACAGCGGCGACTAATAACAAAGATGGTGCAGGCACAGTAAGGGGAGGCTAAATCACATGACCAACGGGGAGCAAGAAGTAGTGATCCTCTGTCCGAACGCTCAGTTAACTAAGTTCACAATAAAGTCCAGGTATTTTGGGGTTAGAGCGTATGTTTAACTTTAAGCAGAGCATGCATGACGAAAAATGGGCATGTGCATGCTCTCGCACACAAATAATAGGCGTTCCATCTCAAGATTGGGTCATGGTTGTTCATATGCATTTTTTTTTTTTTTTGCAAAAATCCTCCACTATACCTTTAATATAGTTACACAGAAAAACAAGAGGCAAAAAAAAACTAATCTGATAGAGAAGGTCTGCTAAACAAGTGATAGCATCTTTAATTTTTTTCAGCGCAGCAAGATGGTTTCACTTAACAAGATCTCTGCAAACAGGATTATTGCGTAAAGTTTGACACACAAAATAAAAAATCAACTCTTGAAACGAGATGAAAAATGTGCTGTGTTCAAAGACCACTAAAGAGAAAATGGAAATCAGAGCTTATATTTCATTTCAACAATTAAATAAATTACCAAAATGAGGAAAATGTTCTTGCTAAGCCTGCAATTACTGGTAAAACTCACAATGGATCAGAGCTATTTGTTATTAACAGCATATTCAGTAAAACTAAATGATAGAAAAAAAATATAAAATGCACAAGTAGTGTTTGTGTCATGATCAGTTGAACAGTTTATCATGACATCTATTTAAGAACAAAGAAAAATCTTCTTCATTTCACATCTTTTTTAACCAACAAAACAGGTATGACTGAAAATATTGGCCAAGAAACAAAGATATCTATCTGAGATCTTCCACTTTGCAACAAAGACTGAGTTCTGACAGATGTTCTGCTAATCGAACTACACTGGAGAGATACGCAAAGGCCCTGATTGACTCATCGCCACCTTCCAGGAGAAGGTGCTAAATCAAAGTCGATTCTGTGCAGGCATACCAAAGCGCTACAAGTTCTGTTTACACGGCAGGCTTTTAGCTGAAGCTTCCCTGCAGAGATGTACAGTGAGGGAGCAGGTGGAGACTCTAAGGATTTATCCATTAAACCTGCTGCCTGGCAGGGCTAATATGCTTTTAAGGCTCCATGAGCTGCCAAACTGCATACCAGCAGGACTGAGGCCCTGCTTTATAGTTCTACCAAGATTTTTCACACCACAGGAACAGAAACCTTTATCATTCTACTGTGCATAATTTGATTGCACAATAAATAGAGAAATATTTTTATTGCATTGTAGGGAGAAGAAAAATACTCTTTAAGAGGCAAAAGAAAATATTGCACAAGACCCAAAAATGAGGTTATGCTTATAAAATAAAATCTTAAGCATTTATGAATGTGAATTTATTGACTTTTTGGTGTGTACTGCACAGTTAAATTGGATCCCAAAAAGAGGAGCAAGCTTATAAATTTTCTTCAGAAATTCATTTGTGTGGTCTTCAATCTAGTCACACCTACTTTTTATGGATAAATCAAAGTTGCTTTGAAAGACCAAGTTGTTAACTGGTGGTGGATGTGGTTGTGGCCCCAAACACAGAGTAGAAGGAGGCAGAGATGAGTATTTGCTGATTTAATTAAGACTGAAAAGCAACAGAAACAAAGTCCAAAAACAAAACAAGGAGAGGTCAGGGGAAACTACACATGAGGAGCAAAGAAACAACGAGAAACTAACAATAAAGAACTGCACAGGAGCTATATATATGGGGAAGAGAACAAAAAAATGGGTTAATGAGCTGATATGGAGCAGGTGTGGATAGAAACAGCTAGAAGGGAGCTAGGGGAAAAGAGACTGGCACCAGGAGGCAACAGAAAGTAACTCAAAAAATGCAACACTGCTTAAATATAACACAAAATGAAAAAGAAACCAATGACCAACAAAACAGAATGACATAAATTACTAAAAACTCCAAAAGAAGTCCAAAAGGGAGAACCATAATTACTTTGACCCAGCAAATACAAATAGCTGCATGTCATTTGTGTTCTTACACTCAGGTAGGTGAGGGAAGAAAAAGATGCAGCGTTATATTCAAAGTAATGTCAGACATAAGCTAATATGAAACCAGATTTATTGATTTAACTGACATTGAGGGTCGGTTGTCATTCAGCACACCCTACAGTTTGGTTTCCAGCAGATATGTGTGCTTTTGGGAGAACAGTAATCAAATCTTGGGTCCATATTGACGCAGTGTTCACAAACTGATGCCAAATTCTCTGTTTCTACTCCTGGGTGAGGTCAGGTGAAATCCAGTCAGGTTCTTGAACCACTGAAGCACGTTTGGTTTAAAGGCTGATGTTAATGAGGTTTATATGTCCTACTGCAAGGTTAGCAGCAGGTGCTAAATAAAGCCAGCATTATGAATTTGTTTTGCATGCCAGTATGTTCACAGCAGGTATTGAGGGATTTAAACAGATTACTGTCAGTCTCTGGGGCATTAGTTGGCAATAGTGACTAGAATGGTCCTTTTTTAAAAGAAGGGTGATAATAAATTAAACTCAAGGAAAATATGACAGCAAACACATTTTCTAATGTGGAAGAAATATACGTACGTAAACATGTTTGTCTCACTAACATTTTACAAGCCATCAGACAAATATGATCGTCTGGTAGATTAAAGTGAGTAAACACATGATATATATATATACATATATATGTATAAGGGGATGATATGATCTATTATTTAAGATAAAATAAAATTCATTTAAAATAAAAAGTATTGAGCGAAAGATTGTTCCACAGACTGTTGGGATTGTGGCCTGACTGATCAGTAGTGTTCTGCTCTGCTCTTCACTGCCAAGCTTAGTGCTCATTCTTTCCACCGGTGCCAACCTTGCACACCAATTAGCACAACTCAGTTCACTTTGTCTCCTGGCTCAACTGGTTAAGCCAACAGTGCCAGATTTTTTGAAAGTATTTGTCTGAAAGATTATCCAGAATTCTTCCGTTGCCTGCCTGATCTTGTTCTTATCCTGGATTTCAGTGTCTCGTCTTGCCCTTACTCAATTCTCTTGCTGTCTTTCAGATGTTCTTGAACGTGACGCTGTGTCTGCATATTGAATACTCGCCTCAAGTCTCAAACTCAGATCTGTTTAGCCATTCTGTCAGTGGCCTTTGCTATAAATATAACCAGTTTGTTTTTCCTCCTCTTCCGTTGCTGTGATGTCATTACCCAGGCATCAGCTCTCACTGAGGAACCAAAACAAACGATTTAAGTCTATGCCAGTCCGGAAGGACTCAAAGAAACTTCTTCAGATCGACTCAAACAAAAAATAGGTTTTGAAGTGGCCAATTCTATGTCTACTTAATTACTTTGGCATGATCTTAGGTAGAATGTCTTGCTCAATATGCAAAGAAGGGAAAAACGCAATGCACAAGTCATTGGCTCTGCCTTCATTTGGCTTGTTCTTTTACAATCCAAACATATCACAAACAATGACATTCAAATTTCTTTGGTCATATGTCTCAAGCAGTGAACTGAAAAACCACCAGGGAAGAGGACTCATGACTGCAGAGCACAGTGGTTATTGGAGAGAAAAAGCAGGAAAAAATTGTCATTCAGTTAGAGACTGGGATACAGTACCTGAGAGACAAACATGGATATTGTGTAACGTTGCATTTTAACACAAATCTGTCAGGAAAAGACGTGTTCATCCTAAAGATTAAACACCTAAAAACAAGTTAGGCAATGTGTTCTATGCAGGGAGGGGTGTTTAGACCTCAACATTCGAGTGACTGAACAGTTACTACGAAAAAAGACACCCAGACATAGAATGGTAAATGGCATGTACTTATATAGCGCCTTTATTCAAGTTAGGAGACTTGACCAGAGCGCTTTACACCACATTCATTCACCCATTCACACACACACTCATGGTGGCAAGCTACATTGTAGCCAAAGCTGCCCTGGGGCTCACTGACAGAAGCGGGGCTGCCGTACACTGACGCCACCGGGCCCTCTGACCACCATCAGTAGACAATGCAGGTGGAGTGTCTTGGCAAGAACCGTCAACCCTTCAATTTCAGGGCAAACTCCTACATCCAACGCCACTGTCGCCCCGACAGAAGTTAATAACTTAATTACATCTCAGAGACAAGGGGCTTTCTGAAGAGAGTAATGTGGACATTTTGTCTAAAAAAGACAAGTGGTTTAAGAGAG